TCGCGGGCGCGTTATGAAAAAATCATGTGAGTGAAATTTCGAGATGCGCGCGCATCACTGTAACACAATAGTAACACCATGAAGTTGGCCGCGGGCGCGTTATGAATGTTAGTGTCTAATAATGGTGGATTATTAACCACTAAGTGGTTAATAATCCACCATTATTAGACATCTGTTCGAAAGGTACTTTGAACGATCCACGGAGCTCCATAAGATGACCGCGTTGTCAAAAACAATGTGGGCACGCTCGTCGCCTCTGATCACTGTTTTATTATCCACATGTTTCTAGTTTCTATATAGACACAACGTGTTTTAGTTACTTACAAGTGCTTATTACATATGGACTAATAACTTAAATTCAGTAGTGATTTTAATTGAATATTTTGAATATTTATTTAATTTTTCAAATTAAAACTGAACTTAATTGACTGTGTTAACTATCCTTTTCCAGTCCTTTTATTATTTTATTGTAATTATTAATTATTTGCATGCAATTTAAAAATATTTTTAATGATGCTAAAGAAGTATAACTTCTCACGCGCGTACATAAGTAACACGCATCCATTTTTTTTATTTGATACAGCCATTTATTATTTTAAGAGATTTATTTTAAGGAGGAGCTCGATGGCGCAGATGGTTAGCGCGTTCGGCTGCGATCGTTGTAAAGCCACTTTCGCAGTGGTCGGTTATTGGATGGGTGACCAAAAATTTCTATCTCAAGTTCCTCCGTGCTTCGGAAGGCGGTTGTTGAGACGGAAGACAGGTCGTATTTAAGTAGGGATCGCGCCATGGTTGGTTCATGGACCGCTGTTAATGATGGAGCTTGAATCACAATATAAGGCAGATCGAAGCTTCCTCTTGAATATGATAGGTTCATACCTATCATATTCATACAAACAGGCAAGTTGTATGTTTGATTGCCACTCTTAAGTAGAAGAAAGCTATTACTAGCAGAACTATCACAGTTTTTGTGTGACTGTGACTGACGTGTGCGTGAGATTCTACTTAACTTTGTTCAGGAAATCTTCTCTTACAAACAGTTGGGCGTCGGCTATTTCACTAGACTGAGTTAAGCCGCACGAGTGTATGTTAGAGATCAAAAATAGCAAAATATTATGTAATTTGCGGTAAAACATACCTGGAATATGAAACTTATAAAAGGATGGTGTTCAATTACACATATAAGTAAAATTATTAACATATTATTTCTAGAAAAAAATCCACGCGGACATTTCTAGTAAACTTTTCTTTAATTTAAACATCTAGCAGTTAAATGCTTAAAAAAATATATAAAATCATATTATTTCTATTTAAGCACTTTTAAACACAAAAATCATATTATTTTGTTAAAGTTTAATCGTCGGACTTGTTTGACAAAACAATCGACTCGCCTCACTTCATCTATGCCCGATTAAGCGTTGTCATTTTTCATGTGTGAATGTCATAATTACATTTTCGTTTTTGCGAAACTATATTGAACTATATTTGTGTGCATATGCGAAGGCATAGGCGGGGGAAGCCCCGCAAAAAGCGGCAAAATGATTTTTAGTAGTATTATGTCATTATGGCTACCCTCCTAGCCGCGTCGGCTGTGTTGCTCTATGGTTTCCAATGACCATCACCATCTATTTACTTTTAATCCCTTGGATTTTCTCCAGTATCATCAATCATCACCACTTGTTCAATTCGTTACCTTGTAGTTCACGCTTTAATTTTACATTGTCAAGTGAGGTTCTATATAATGACTACAATTAATTTTATTAAGGTGAATCATCATCGTCACTCTTGACAATCATGCCATCTGAGTCACATTGATAATTGGTTTGTTGCATGAAACTTAATGTTATTGTTGTTAAATGACGTCATTTAATCTTTACCTGGACTTATTATTACAGTCTGATGCTTGACACTCACACACCATTAACAAAAGCTTTATATATATATACAGGGTGGAAATTTTGAATGCCGCCCCCAGGGGAAGTACTCTAAATACTGAAGATAGATAATTTCACTCAAGGTAAACATTCCTTTATTTTTAAAAAGAAACACAACTGCATTCACAGTTTTTCGAAAATTTGCTTGCCACACCCGGGAATCGAACTTGCAAAAATTCGGAAAAATTTCACCCTGTATTTTAACAGTAATAACAGCATGTACAACCGCCGCAATAACCACTATTGGTCTCGAGTGAATCCTTTTCGTGTTCATGAAACTATCAGTCAAGTAAGATTCTCTTTCAACGTTTGGTGCGGAATTATGAGAAACATGGTTGTGTTAGTCCACGTGTACGATGGTCATTTAAACACTGTCAAGTATCTTGAAATACTGGACCTCTTAAGAAATGAGTTAAATAATTTACCTGAGGAAGAGAGACATCGTATAATTCTACAACAAGATGGTGCTCCGGCCCATAACAGCAGAATCACCGCTGCCTATGTTAATTTCAATACCTGGATTGGTACAAACGGCACAATTAGATAGCCTGCGGGATCACAGATTTAGGTAAATTTTATATGTAAAAAATAAAATTTACCTAAAATCTTATACAACTGTAAACGAGTTAAGAGCTGAGATTCACAATACGATTTTTAATATTCATCACAACACGCTATTAAAAGTTACTAGATATAAATTCCTTAAAAGAATAAATTTGTGTATCCAACAAAATGGAGATCATTTCGAGCAACTAATTAGTTAGAATGATATTTTTTTTGTTCAAATAAAATAAGTTAAGATTTCATGCTTTTCCTTTAATCCAATGTACTAAGTTTGTTAGTAAGATATGATCCCTATGATTGACCCTATCGATCGATGCCATAAAAATTCAGGGTGTCATTATTTCGAATTTTCGCTAGTTCGATTCCCGGGTGTGGCAAGAACATTTTCGAAAAACTGTGAATGCAATTGTATTTCTTTTTAAAAATAAAGGAATGTTTCTGTTGAGTAAAATTATCTATCTCCAGTATTTAGAGTACTTCCCCTGGGGGTGGCATTCAAAATTTCCACCCTGTATATTTTTACGATATAGTTGTTTTACAGCTAAGAAGGTGCTTATACGTTTGAAGCGCGAAGATCCCGGAAAGATTGTGTCATACACGTGTATCGATTAAAATATTCGTCAAATTAGTGTAATAATCATTTTTTACTTATTATATGCAAAGTACAATTACTTAATATTAACAATAGACTCCATGTAATATTTTCTGAGCTAATGTGTCTGAATGACAATTTTGACAACCTCATATTTAAAGAATAAAGAAGGTTAATTCTTACTAAAAAGTATATCAGCGGGCCATACAAGATATGGTACAAGAAATTAACGTGTTTTGTATGAACCGCTACACGTTTAAAATATAGATAAATAAATAGTAAAAAAAGCTTTTGAAAGCCTTAAGGGCTTATTATTATCGTTGTAGACGATAAATTGCTTTCTGTTATAGTCGTGGTGCTTGCAGTACAAATTAATTGTTGGCTGATAAATTTCAAAGTATTCTATTGTTTTTGTTCGATTATCTTTTTAAATAACTCTTACATTACAATGTAATTTAGTATATTTATAATATAGTGTATATATAAATATATATATACGCATCCGAATCCGAACTATACATATGAACTTTAATAGAATAATCTCTACTAAATGATCCCAAAAAATTCAGGTCCTTCAGTAGTATGAGTTTTGGTTTCCAACATGCATAATTTACGAAAACTATAAGATTTATCAGTTCATATTTTATATTATCGTTTGAAATATGTAATTTATTCAAATAAATAAAATTGGTTTATTATTCACAAAAGAATATAATATTATATTTATATTAAAATTAAAAATATTTAGACTATATATAAGAATATTCAAACTATATATTATTGTAATCCTTATACTTAAACACATTTACGGCAGATTGTCAATTGGCCTATTATAACTAAGCTACGGAAAAATATAAGCAATTTTACTGCTTAAAAAGGATATACCAACCTCATATATTGTTGTAGGCTAAGTTACAGAAATAAACTAATTTGTATTCAAAATAGCTTAAAAGTTCAAATTACTTCGTAATGCTTTATACTTTTTTTATGAGTATACTTATACTTAACCATCGCCCATCGCTGTCAGACTAACTAAGGGATTCAGCGTATGGAGCTCGACTCTAGCAAAACTACTCGTACATGTACATATTCTGTCAATTTTGCTCAATTTAGAGGTCTTGATTCTTGCAAGGGGTTTAAGTAAACCAATTCTCTTTATAAAGTACGTGTCAAAGCCACCGAAGGACAGTCACAGAAAAATATCCCATGGTGTTGTGTTGAGTAAGCCGTTTTCTATTGCTATTATGCAAATTTTCGTCTCATGTCTCTATATATGGTAGTCGCAAATGACCGACGCCTGACTGCGTTGTTTCAGTTGTTTACAACACGTGATGACACTAGAAATAGTTTTCTTAGTTTTTGGAGCAGGTAGTCTTTTAATGTGAACGTGAGTTAGTTATTAAAGTAGATCCAACCCAAGCTACAATGTCAATGTCAAAAGCAAGATATTAAATAAAACCAGGATTTGGTCAATTAAAACAATACACTGATTTAAGTTTGCTAGAACTCACCATATTCATTACAGGTTTACAGGTTAATAAATTATTTCCGGATTTACATAACGTATAAGTACAGATGGTCTATTTGTGAAAATAGACAGTTAGCTAGCTTCAGTGTCAATATTACTGTCATAATTATGGTGTAACCATCATGAAACTGTAAAAGTAACAGACCAGACAGAGACAATAAAACATACTTGCGTTGAATTCACAGTCATCATTAGTTTGTGTCGTACTTTGAGTATATATTTCTTAAATCGTCAAAGCCTCTTTAGTTTAAGTCTTTAATAGGGAGAATTGAGGATAATAACCAACATTGATCAAATAAACGATACTGTTTTGAATAAAAGGCGTGGTATGAAATTTCGAGTTGAACTGATTGTTCATTAGAAATTTTTATTTGTTTTACAGCTAGACGCTCAGCAGCGGTACACACTATTCCAGCGTGGGTTGTGGGAGGCTGCGCAGCAAATCAACCGCGGCCTCGTCAGAGATGAACCAACCTTCCGGCAGCTGCAACTCCTCTCCATCATCGGGCCTGCTGCCTTACCACCTGACCAGCTGGACAGAGTAAGATTTATCCACCTTTCTTTAGCAGTGAAGCATTTGTGATTATGCGTTACCTACAATGCGAAGAGATGGCACTAGCTTGTAGTCTAAAAAATACTAGAAGAAATTTGATACGGCCATTAAGGTCGCAGTAGCATAATTGGCTAGTACATCCGCCCGGATAACGGAGCGTAAAATTTTCTTTGGATTTAAGCGTACTCAACTTTTTTCAAAAAATAATTAGGTACATCATTTGCATAGAGCTGACACGGCCAGATCATAAGGTTGTTCATAGAGACCTTTTAAAGAAAAATATTGCATATAACTAACTAAATGGCTGTTTAATGTAACTATCATCAAAAAACAGACTAAGTAGAGTTGGGTAACCAATTATAAGTTTAGGTATAAATAATAATTAAGTAAGAAGTACAAGAGTAAATATCGGTAAAATGTAATTTTCCCACGAAAGCTTTCAATAAGAAAATGGATCAGGCACTCTTTCTAGTCAAAAATAGTTTCTGCAAAGCATTTTAAAGACTCTCATTTTAACCAAACATATGATTTCATTACAGTACAATCGCCTGATCAACGACATGCTAGCAGTGTACAACACAGCGGAGATATGCGCCTACAACGAGCCGTTCAAGTGCGGACTGCACCTCCAGCCAGAGCTGCAGTTCATAATGTCCCACTCGCGGGACTGGGATGAGCTCCAGCACGTGTGGACCGAGTGGCGAAGGAACACCGGCAAGAGAATACGGGACCTGTACGAGCAACTTGTGGACTTGACTAACCAGGCGGCCAGACTGAACAGTAAGTATGTTTTTACTTTTAAGAGATGGTGAACCTGCAACCAGAGCTGCAGGTCATAATGTCCCACTCGCGGGACTAGGACGATCTTCGACATGTGTGGACCGGGTGGCGAAGGAACACTGGCAAGAGGATACGGGACCTGTACGAGCAACTTGTGGACTTGACTAACCAGGCGGCCAGACTGAACAGTAAGTAGATTTTTACTTTTAAGAGAGGGTGAACCTGCAACCAAAGTTGCAGATCATAATGTCCCACTCGCGGGACTGGGATGAGCTCCAGCACGTGTGGACCGAGTGGCGAAGGAACACCGGCAAGAGGATACGGGACCTGTTCGAGCAACTTGTGGAATTGACCAACCAGGCGGCTAGACTGAATAGTAAGTAGGTCGTGTTTAAGTGAGCGCTGCACTTTTAACCAAAGCTGCAGTTCATAATGTCCCACTGGCGGGATTAGAATGACCTTTGGCATATGTGGACCGACTATAGGAGGAACAGGGGCAAGAGGATACGGGATCAGAATTAGCAACTTGTGGACTTAACTTATCAAACCGCTAGACAAAACAGTAAGAATATTTCTACACTTATGTGAGGGTGAAACTCCAACCAAAGCTACAGTTTATAATGTCCCACTCGCGGGACTGGAATTGACTGGGGACGGTGAAAGGTTTTCTAAAGTCTTAGCAATTTCATGAAAATACGAATTAGAAGTTAAAACAGTTCGTGAGTTTTACACAATTGCAATAAATTTAAAAATAAAATTCTTTATTGCAAACAACAAAATACACAAGCCATAAACTAATAAAATAGAAGAAGAGTATCGAATAGGCGGTTTTATTGCTAAACAGCAATCTCTTCAAGTTTTTAGGTATCTAATCTAATGGTTCCATTTAATGTTTTTATAGTGATACGTACATACACCCAGTTAATAAGACAGAATATATTTGACAGTAATGTGTACCTTGTAATTTTTATTTCAGACTTTACTGACGCATCTGCATATTGGATGTTCCCGTATGGAACGCAAAATTTGAGACAAGATATGGAAGAAGTATGGGAACAGGTACGGTTTTAACGTTACAATGAATTCCGATTAAGATTTACTATTTTTGTCAAGTTTTAAAAAAATACTGTTACTTGAAATAATTGGAACATACAGTAGAAATGTAGTTATAATTATTAAAAGTTCACGTTTCTATAATGTCCTTAAAGTGAATTAATCCTGAGAACTTCCATGCTTATAATAAGCACGTTTGTCACCCTATGTTAGAAAGGGAACTCTAGTTTAAGTCAGAATTTCCCAGTGCAGATAAACAAAACCTATCAACGAATAATTTATCTACAGAAATAGTTAGGCTAGTTTATTAACTAGGCTGCCAGCCTATCACTGTTGTTTCCAAACAATTATTTTAGAGCTGGCAATTTCCAAATTGTTGAGGTCCTACGGTATTCGTTTTCATTATATTTATTTATCTCTCATACCAAACCAGTTGCGGATGTATACCTGTATATTTTATAATATCATCAACATAAAGTTCTAACATGAGCAAATGTTGTGAAAATAGACATTGCATGAAACAAAAAACATTATCATACCTTAATAAAAGCCTCATTCCCTTAAATACATATGTAATTGATATGAAACATCATTGCAATTCGAAAACCTCCATGGTCGAGTGGTATTTACGCCGAGTTTCAAGGTGTGCATACTCGAGAGGTCCCGGGTTCGAATCCCGGTGGGGGCAGATGTTTGTGTGATGAATACGAACATTTGTACTCCCGTCATGGATGTTAAATATGTATTTCTATATAAATATACTTATATATGTATTCTATCTTATTCTTATATTTGTGCCCGTTACGCTAGTATCCCATAACACAAGCCTACAGTGCTTATTTTATGGGCTAGGCTAATTGGTGTTTAAAAAAAAAACAATTACTAAAAGAATATGATTTCTGTACTCCAGATCAAACCTCTATACGATCTTCTCCACGCTTACGTGCGTCGGCGACTCCGGGAAGCATACGGACCGGAGAGAATCTCGCGCTCAGCCCCCATCCCCGCGCACATCCTTGGCGACATGTGGGGTCAGAGCTGGGCCGGAATCGTGCCAGTTACACTGCCTTATCCAGGCAAGACCCTGGTAGATGTCACCCCGGAAATGGTGCAACAGGTGAGGGACAACTATATTAATAAAGTCTGAAGCAAGTAGAAGCCTTTTGTTAAAGCTCAATGAGAAGCAACCTGAAGTTACCAATTAAACTTTTCTCGATATTACTGCTTACAGTTATCCTCTTTTGGGTAGTTTAGCGTATCTGTGATGGGATAGATGTTCTTGCCCTCAAGGCTTTAGGACCACGTCTTCGAAATATAGCAACACTTTTTGAGGCACATTTTGGAGATTATCTGTGTTATCCTTAATTTTTACTACTTCGGTTTTAATACAATTATAGTACGAGCCATCCTATTCGCGTATTCCAAAACAACCCAGCACCCGTGTTTTTTTATCATTGTGTTATTTTACTCTATTTCAGGGCTTCACACCGCTCACGATCTTCCAACTAGCCGAAGAATTCTTTGTCTCAATGAACATGTCAGCGATGCCTCCAGACTTCTGGGCATTGAGTGTTCTGGATCAACCAGCGGACAGGCACATACACTGCCAGCCGTCCGCCTGGGACTTCTGCAATAAACATGATTATCGGTGCGTTGCATTTTTGATTTGGCCATAGACAAAATTAAACGAGATAAAGAAGTTTACCAAAGCTTTCATCGTCATCAGCTTATTAATGCCCCTATTGCTGGGCCTCAGGTATTCCCTATGGATGGAATAGGGAGATTGGCGACGTGACCCACCACGCGGGACAAGTGCGGATTGTTGGGTGCCAACGATTGCAAATGCAGCGGGGTCAGCGGGTTTAACGTGCTTTCGAAGCACGGAAGAACTCGAGTTAATAAGTTTTATGTCACCCATCCAATGTTACGAAAGTTGCTTAACTGCCATGATCGCAGGCCGAACGCAGCTGCTCCAAAGCTTTGTGGGTAGATATTTTGAATAAATATATATTCTAAAATGGCTACATGGAGCATAATTAGGTTACTTATTTTGTTAAGTGCGTGCAAATTGTACTTATAACGTTTACGGCAACTTTCTTCACGTTGAACTTTTCTGATTATTTTCAAGCACGAATCATTGTCGAATATTCGAATAGTTTGCGAGCGCGAAATGCCAATGTCAAGTTTTGTATGAAAACTTGAACAGCAGCGCCACAAAGTACGTAACGAGCACTAACACTTTTGACAGTGACATTTTGGACCCGCAAACGTTACGAATTCGATATTGGCTCGTGTTAAGGGTACAGCTTTGTTTATGTACTATGAGTATCGAGATTCGATGATTAATATCACCGTAGTCTTTTGAACCTTTCGATACCAGGATTTCATTACTTACTGGTAGAAATCATGGCAACATCACTAAAAAGTTTTATATACGGGCGCCAAAATTCGAGCGGCAATGCCGAGAAAAAGAGAAAGAGCCTACGACTTTTTACAAGGAAACCTAAGATATTTTTATTGTAATAATATGTGATGGAATGATGGAGGAGCTCGATGGGGTTAGCTCGTACGGATGCGATCGTTGAAGTTAAGCAACCTTCGCAGTGGTCGGTCATTGGATGGGTGACCAAAAAAAATTTACTATCTCGAGCTCCTCCGCGCTTCGGAAGGCACGTTGAGCTGTTGGTCCTGGCTGCATCTGTAGTTACTAGCACCCACCAATCCGCACTGGGCCCGCGTGGTGGGTCATGGCCATTGGTCATGGTCATTCCATCCATAGGTAAGGCCTGTGCCTCAGCAGTGGAGACATTAATAGGCTGATGATGATGATGATGAGATGAATATGTGATGTATATAATTCAGTACAAATCTCCAATGACTGACTCTTTTTTTAAAGGAAATTTTGAATTTGTTTCGCAGCATCAAGATGTGCACGCACGTTGACATGCAGGATCTGGTGACCGCGCACCACGAGATGGCCCACATCGAGTACTTCCTGGCCTACAGGAATCAGCCCAAGGTGTTCCGTGACGGAGCCAATCCTGGTGAGTCTTAAAATTATACTAAAAATATAGATGATATCTCTATGACAAAAATATAGGTTATATTATGTATTTTTCTACCCTGCTTTGTTGGATGCAGATTATAAAAATAACATCTATCAATATCTTATTTCGTGTGTTTAAAGATTTATGGGTCTTTAAGTAAGGTAAGGCTCTACATAACAAGATAAAATAAACGAGTAGACAAACCACTTTTCTAAATATAATTTTCAAATCTTATGAATTTATATCAGAAAACTTTTAATGTAGCGACTAACTAGGGAGAAAATAAAAGTCAGCTGTCTGGTACTGCCAAGTTGTACAAATATGTATCACAGGAGCAGTACGTAACTATCAGGTCGTTAATACCAGATTTTAATGTTCCTGTTGGAGACAATAATAATTGGAAGCGATTCCAAATCTTCTCCAACAGAGACATTTAAGAAAACAAAATATAAAAACAACATAACGTTTATTCTAATTTTAAACAAAAAACAAAATCAAGTAAAAGCGTTCGGTACCCCTAGCACGAACCAATATCAAATTCGTATAGTTTGCGACCCTGAAATGTCATTGTCAAATTTTGTATGAAAACTTGTACAACAGCGCTATAACGTACGTAACAACAAGTAACAATCAGTACACATTTGACAATGACATTTCAGACTCGCAAACTATTCGAATTCGATATTGGTTCGTGCTAAGGGCATAGATACAGCAGCATCGATCAGCGCCAATTTTACATTATTTTGGAAACTGTAGAGTTTCCTGCATTAGGTTCCATTCGTCTCCAACAGGAACATTATAAAAGAAAAAATCAATCGAAACAACATAACGTTTATTATTCTAATTTTAAACTAATAAACTAAATCAAATAAGAAGAACGCTTAGAAACGCAGCAGCACAGATTAGCGCCATTTTAACATTATTTGAAACTGCCGAGTTGCACAGGTCTGTGTCACAGGTACAGTACGTCACGAATACATCGCCAGTACCGGACTGTCTCCTGCATGAGGTTCCATTCGTCTCTTCGTCAGTTAGGTATCCGCATTGGCGGACTACGCGGATTTTTCCTTGGACTGAAACAGAAAGTTTTTTTTAAAACTGTTGGAAAATATTGAAGTCTTTGATCGTGTCGTTGTTAGTAACAAAGTCCTTAAAATAACCTGAAACAATTGCGTCTTTTATCGAAAATCTAGTTGTCTTTATCCAAATCGTAAGCAAAAGTCGATATCCGAGTAGCACTTAAATTTGAAAAAATCTCAGAAAATGAAAGATGTTACTGGTACCCTCTCATTTTTAACACCGTTTGAAGGCATGGTCATTTGTTACTCTTTGCTCTTCATGTCCCTTTATTATGAAGTGCTCTTTCTAAATATATATGTGAATAACAATCCATATCGGAATGCAATACTATAGTTTTTCTTTAAAACGGTGCCCGACATAAACTGTCATCATTTCTGAGTATCGAGTCCTTAGTAATGTTAATACAGTTCTAGGAATAGCCTTACAAGGTCGATAATTATGTCAATGGAATCTTAGTCCCTGAACTTAAGGAGCTCGATGGCTCAGGTGGTTAGCGTTGTTTGGCTGCAATCGTTGAAATTAAGGAACTTTCGCAGTGGTCGGTCATTGGATGGGTGACCAAAAATCTTCTAACTCTAGTTCCTCCGTGTTTCGGAAGGCACGCTAAGGCGTTGGTTGGTTGGTCGGTATTACCTGGCAATCTGCCCTGGGCCCACGTGGTGGGTCATGGTCCAATCTCCCTATTCCATCTATAGGGAAGGCCTGTGCCCCAGTAGTTGTGACATTAGTAGGCTGATGATGAATCTTAGTCCCTTTAAGATTTATTTATATGTGTAGCTCCGAGCAAATTATCCTACCCCTACCTGACGTTAATAGCTGTTGTGTACAGATGAGAAGATTCAGTAGTTTTATCCGCCACCCCAGCCATCCACATCCCAACTATTGCCAGGCTACAAGTTGCTTCTTCAAGCCTCTTTGTAAAGAGAGAGTACTTCCACGTGTTACACTGCAGAATTCTTTCTACATAGTTAAGTAAGCTTTGTCAGTCTGGTAAAACTTGGGTTGCTATGCCTATTTAAAGGCAACAACATATGCCTTATGCCTTGAAAAATTATTTACTTACTTTGGACTCCCGAAAATAAGTTATAACTGGAGACCAGTTCCTTCTCCGACGTTAGTCTGAAGTGGTTACAGTGCCTAGATTGATACTGATCCGCTAAGCCATACTTCTCCTAATGATTGCGCCAAGAATACTCACTCTCCATTTTGATAGATCGGCATAGCGTGGGTTCCGTGGGTGGTATGTGCTCCAAAGGATCTCGCAGGGAACAGTTGACGACCCCCAGGCTAAACGGATCGAATTCTTCGCCGCAGCGGGGATCGAACGCACTGTTGCAGTCGTAGCACATGATTGTTGACCCTGGATATAAAGAAATTGATAATCAACATTGATTTTTATTTATTTATTTCCAATAGTCACACCAATTAGCCTAGTCCCGAAGTAAGCACTGTAGGCTTGTATTATGGGATACTAGGATTACGGATTGAGTACATATATTGATACGTATCTAAGTATATTTTAAAGAACTACATGTTAAACATCCATGACTGGAGTACAAATGCTCGTATTCATCACACAAACATTTTCCCCCACCGGGACCTCTCGAGTAGGCGGCACCTTGAATCCTGGCGTAGAAACCACTCGGCCACGGAGGTCGTCAGAACTTCTCGTCGTCTTACTTTGTTACATTAGCGATTTAGTTTTAGAGATTCCGTCTCTTGCCACGTTAAGCTACGGAGGAAGCTTACTGTAGAGGTGCTCATAGAGAAATAACTGCATAGATTTTAACGTATACGTGAAGAAGTTTCTAATAGTTTTGAAAATCCCCGTGCGATATCCTTGGTGTTGCTGGCATCCTTAGGTCACGGTGGGATACGGTGATCGCTAATTGTCTGGAGGTTGGAAAATAACACAACTTATAATTTTCAAATATGTTTTTTGTTGTAAGTAGGGTTAAATCTCAACTAATGCCTAATGCTGTGTAATTAGCTGGAATCTGAATGCTAATTACGCCAAATGAAGTGTGACTGAGATCTATATGCTAATTAAATGAAGCTGAAAATAAAACTACCTAGTAATGATGTAGTAAGCAATATTAATAGTGTCAAGTTTACTGGTCCGTTCTAATCCAGTTTGCGGTAAAGTAAGGTTTCAAATGGGGCACTGTGTTCGACCTACTTATTAGTTTAGGGCAGAACAAAATACAATGAATTGGTTCATTTCAATTTAACAAAAATCTTGACGACCTCCGTGGCCGGGTGTTTTGTATGCCGGGTTTCATGGTGTCGCCGACCCGAGAGGTCCCGGGTTAAAATCCCGGTGGGGCCAGATGTTTGTGTGATGAATACGAGCATTTGTACTCCAGTAATGGATGTTTGATATGTATTTCTACATAAATATATTCATATATATACAGTTTAATACAGTTTATTATATTCGTTACCCTAGTATGCCATAACACAAGCCTTCTTATAGTGCTTCCTTTGGAGCTGGGCTAATTGGCGTGTGTTGGAAATATTTATTATTTTATTATTATAAAAATCATAAAGTAAAAGAAGATATGTGATATCTACAATTCATTAATATTTGCTGCCTTTTTATTATGAGTAGCGATCTTAGCATAGTTAACGTATTTGAAAGCAATAAACTATATCCTATATTGAAATATAGGAATATTGTAGTTTTCTGACGTGAAAGATGGTGACAGAATTTTTTGAAATCGGTCGTATTTTTTAAGTTTATTTGTTACAATGTTATAAACAACGATTCTTGAAAAATACAAATTTTTCCTCTTTAAAACATTAGAACAGACGGTGACGGTAGACGATGCACAGTGAAATGAAATTTGTTATCAGACACGGAGGCCGGGAGGCGTTACAGGAAAAAACAGTAGATGTATGGAAAGAGCTGCAGCAGTAGAAGCAGTTTTTTTCTGAGTTGCTAACCCCCCCACATAGAATTGGTAAATCAAATATAGTGCAGCAACCAATTTTCGTACGTTTCTATGGCTTCCTAAACATATTTATTGTATATCTTAGATAAGATTCTTAATGACGGAACCGGAAAAGCACAGCACAGGTGGTTCGAGTGACACATTTTACGCAACATTTTAATTTAAAAAAGAAAATCGTGTTCTAAGAAAAATACAGTAGATTCATGTATAGAAACAGAAGAACATTATAAAATTGAGAAAAACGGGAGATCTCCTGTAGAAATGTAAGGTGCTCGTTCCCTTACTCCTAAATACTCCATTATCAACGTCGAAAAGAAAATCAAACAGTCCCAGTCTTTCTTCGGAATGTGTATTGGTATTTTATTGTGGCGGTGACATCTATATGCCCCACATATAACCAACATAACGGAATTAATCACTCGCCCCTTCAAGAGATGGAGCTACCGGCGCTGCACTCAAATAGTATGGAAGCCTAGATCGCACTAGTGAAATTCGGCGGCCAACAGTTCATATATACAATGCCCGACCAACATCAGTCGGGCCGCGGCCCCCGAGCTACCATCATCCAGCTCGGAGGAAGATCTTCCCCTTTGACCTTCCTACATTATCATTTTTTATCTCAAAAGGATGGAAAACAAGCGTATGGTCCGCCTGACAGTAGCGGCCACCAAAGCCTATAGACGTCTGCGATACCAAAAATATCACTCGCACCGTTGCCTCTAATGCTGGGGCACAGGCCTTCCCTATGGATGGAATAGGGAGTTTGGGCCATGACCAACCACGCAGGCCCATTGCGGATTGGTGGGTGCTAACGACTGCAGATGCAGCCTAGACCGATGGCTTAACGTGACTTCCGAAGCACGGAGGAGCTCGAGATAGTAAATTTTTGGTCACCCATCCAATGACCGACCATTGCGAAAGTTGCTTAACTTCAACAATCGCAGCCGAACGCGCAAAGCACCC